CAGCTCTTTCGAGATTTAAATTACAGTTGTTTGTCTGTTGCGGACGGCCGCGTCCGTTTTCAAACCATATCCGCTACCATCAAATAGATATGTACAAGCTAGGCTTCAATGCTTTATCTCAACTCTTTCGATCTTAGGTTTTTCTACACAACGCACAGTAAAGCGACGGTTTGACGGACGGTATTAAATGCATTCACCATTTTTGCCACCTTTCAAGTAAACATATTATTGCATCTTGGATAACTCTACATATTTCAATTATCGATTGCGAATACCACACATTTATCATATTTCGAAAGCCGAAAAAAAATAAATTTTCTTAGTGCTGCTACGAAGAGAACACGCGCATATATATTCTTTATGCGTTCTCAAATGCTTATTGCAAAGGGATCTTCACCGTGCGATAAGTTACAGTAATACAGCAAAAAGGCGTAATTAAAAATGCAATGTTAATAAAACAAACTAAGTGCGAAGAAGTAAGAAAGTTATATTCGGCGCAAGCCGAATCTCACATACCCAACACTATGCTTTTCGCATTCTATTCTCCAACTTGTTTTATTTGACGCCCGCTAGCTCGCCAGTATTACTAAGAAAAAATTTATCGCGCTATCTAGCATAGTCATTTTAAAATTAGCCAACGAGTCTACGCAATAGTTTTAAACATTCTCTCTTGTTTGCCTTATGATAAATAAGCGTAAAACGTCAAAAAAGTAAATAACATAAAATTTAATTACTCGCAACTTTGTGTGAGCATGGCCGAATAATTCCATTTTTAGACTTGAGGAGTAGTAGTAGTGCTACGTAAAGTAAATGTGGAAAATTTCGGCCTTGTAACTTTTATAATTTTCGAGTCATGGGCGAAAATTCGAAAATTTTTATTAAAAAAACTGATTTCCGTTCAGTTTACGCTTTACTGCCCACTTCTGCTCGGATCAATTTGTCCCATTTTCACTACCATGCTGCATGCAGGAACTGTCAATATTTGTACCAAATTTGAAGTCGATATATTGAATTTTGCGACCAGAAGAGCGTCAACAACACACACTACACAGCTCAACAGACGGACAGACTTGACTAAATCAACTCAGAATTTTACGCTGATCGAGAATATATATACTTTGCAGGGTCCCTGAAGCTTCCTTTTGGGTATTACATACATTATAGAAAAGAACAAGATGAGTATACACCCATCTTACAGTGATGGGTATAAAAGTACAAATAGGATAAAACAAATTACTAAAAATGCTGAGATAAAGATACAAAAAGGTGTAAACTAAGCATAGACGGCCGCATCAACTTTGGTCGAATTGATAATATTGATAGTAAAGACATTATACATCCACTGTGTATATTGTACACGTTCGGAATTAATTGTTCTGAGCAATAAAGTCGATTGCACTTAAAAACAAAATTGACCATTGCATCAAGTTATACGAAACCGATTATTCAATATTATGTAATATACGTCGGATTCATAACAGAAAATCAAAAGGTCGCTCAGATAATTTAGTAACATTTAAACCTGTTTCATTGACATGCATCGGTTTGAATGTCAGAAAAAGTCATATTACCTGAATTCTTAATCGAATCATTTAGCCCGCATTTCGACGTTTTTGTTTTTCTTTTTCTTTTGTTTTATATATATATGAGCAAATATATGTGGGACGTTTAGAAAGATGTGGGGGTGAAGAAAGATATGGAGTGATTGCTGTACCCCAATCAGTAAGTACAGATCGAGTAGCATGCAATCTGTTCTAGTTTCGAACTGACAGTCATAAAGTACAATTTTTTGCATAACGGGTGTAAACTATTGTAAATTTTCCAGATTTTTTTATTGGCTTAGAAGATCCTTCGCCCCTGCCAAAAATGAAATGCATTCATCTCCGAAAAGCTCACTTGTATTAAACAAGTACCTATGGATAATTTGTAACCTAATCTCTTATCTCTTGATTTCTTACTACCACCCTACATACATAAAAAGATATTTTTAGAAGGTATTTTTGTTAATCTGAAAGCATTTCCGAACAAAAATATTGGAAAACTATCGTTGAGTAAATATCGAGAGCAATTTAAGAATGGCCGAGAAATTAAAATTTTGAAAAAAAATTGTTAATGTTGATGATAATCGCTTTTCGTTATGGAAATATTTTACTAACATCATTCATCATTTACGAAGACCTTTGCATAAAAGTATCAAGATCAAGGCAATGGGATAATTGACTTGGGAATCAAAAGTAACGCTTTTCTTGGATATGTTGAAAATAATCCGTTAAGTTCGATCCGACAATTTAAGCTTAAAACAATAATTGAATGAAAAACTATGCCCTGATTATTACCTTGATAGGATATTTGGCGATGCACATTCTATTCATAACTATTCATAATATAGAAAAACTGTTTACATCAAAAGAAGGACAAAAAAGACACAGTTTTGACACAGCATTGTTCATCTTTCGCGACAATATCTACAATTGTTACGAAAAAATGGCAATTTCGTGTTTGAAGGATAATCGATTTTTTTTGGGATTGGCTACGAAGTGACCCATTTTTGTTTTATTTTTTTGCCATAACAAGTCGTAGCTTAAAAATATTAATTGAAAGAGTAACGAACTAACGTCTTCTTTTAGAAAATCGGATAAGCACTTCTATTGTGTAACTTTTATATCTATTAATTCGGGAGATGATTTTATTCCTATAACAACAATTGAAAAATTAAAATAGTTTCGAAAACAAAAACATTTACGCCCTATCCGATGATATTTGTGAATAATTCCAGTGAATATTGATTATTTAAAGTTCGTTCACGTTCAAGCCGTTGACTCATATTTATCGCTTACAATGTCTTTGAACTCTTTAGAATCAATTAATTAACGTTACTATCTTTACGCTATCCCTTGATATTTTCTTGATAAATATCGCGCAAGAGACTAATGCAAACACGCAGGAGAGCAGCTTGATGTGTGTGACATGAAACAAAACCAAATCCTTATTTAGCATCGTATAAATATATTCTGCTTAATATCCAATACTCGTACTGTATGTGCTTTATAGCGAACGCTGAGATATCGAGACATTAAAAGGTTATTTAAAATTTAAAACCCGTTCGCCACTAATAGTTGGCATGCTTAAGAGTAATATTACGAAATGCGCGCAGATTTGCTGATGACCTCAGAGCGACAGAGCTTTTTATCTACGATCATATGAAGCCGATATTCCCTCCGAAACGAAAAAAAGATCTAGCCCTTCTTAAAATTTATCTTAAAAGGTCCGAAGATGCCATTACTGCCCATTTATCTGGGAAATACGCTCAAATTATATGCACCATCCCTGATAATAGTTGTAGATGGCTTGTTGAAGTATCCCAATTGAATTCTTTAAATAGCACTTTTGGTCAACCAGGGAGGGGAGCTTCTTAGAATTCTTGTATTTATTTTCAAAATGTAATGAACATCGTCTTCTCCTCAGAGCTATGGCTAAGTTTGCTTGAATTTTATGACAAGTCGTCCCGTAGCATTGCTTTATTAGTTCATGTACCGAGCTTGGATGGATTTTTTGTTCTTAGCTCATTTACCTACGCATTTAGATCGAAGGGTTACGTATATTGAACTGAGTTCATTTTTGCTTAAAATCGTGACTGAATTATCACAAAAATCCATAACGTTATAATATTATCTGGCGAAGCATCCATTCCATGTTTTGGACCAAAAGTAATTAAGTATTCACACCAAGATATTTCAAATAAAAAAAATATTTTTTAAGAGAAAACATTCTAATCCTAAACAGGAAGGAGCTGAGTATAAGACATATCGAACAATCTTTAGATTAGCTTCAATTAACAAGTAAGCGAAATTCTCGTCGATTTTCACCAATTTTCTACGATTGATTTGAAAGGAAAAAAGGGTTTCGTACTCAAATGTTTTAAGAGGAAAATAATCCAAGTTATTGCTTCAGTTTATAGATTATCAAGAGTGAAAGTGAAAGATAATTATTGCTTTGACAACGTCATAGCTAAGAAAGAGTCCCTGAGATAAATGCTACTTATGATTATGCCACTTATGGTTACTTATGCTATTTGTGCTACAAGGTTGTGTTATAATAAATTGTCATAATATGAAGAGGAGATGAAGAGCATATGTTTAAAAACAAAACTAAAAGAAAAAAAAAAAAAAAAGGAATGGAAACTTTTCACTTTTCTTTTTCGTTAATTTTTATGAAATTAAACATAAATTGAATTTTGTGAATGGCTTACACTTAAAAAAAAAAAAAAAAAAGAAAAAAGAAAATCAAATTAAATTTACCTGAATTTTTATTATTATTATTATTACTTTAAACAACGACCAGATAAAATGAATTGAGGCCAGTATATGTAAATTTTGTTTAATTTCTCTACATACACATAAATATATATATATATTTATATATATATATATATATATATATATATATGCACACATACATACATATATGTGAGTTTATCTTAAGAAGTGTACACAAAAATCATTACATTTTGCATATAAATGTTCGGTTGAAGCCATTTTCCGCAATTTATCAAAATCAATTATAGGGGAAGTTTTTCAACTTTCAGTTACTTGTAAACATTATTTCCGATCTCGGACATGGGATTATGGAAATAAAACTGCATGAGTGACGTTGTATGTGTGGTTTCAATTACAATTAAATATTGCACTGCGCCCTCTAAGAAAAGTGAATAAAATAGAGCACTCAGGCAGATCAGGTAAAACAGATAATTTGTTATTGTTGTTATTATTATTGTTGTTGCTGTTACTGTTACTGTTGCTGTAGTATTTTTTTGTGTTTTTTTTCTTTTTTTTTCTCTATTTTCGAAATGAGAAACTAAAGCACAGAAATATTTCCACAGCACCAACATAAACACGCGGCGTGATATTCAATTGTTGTGGCTGTTGTTGTTGTTGTTATTGTTAAAGAAAATCGTCCGTGCAATACACAGTAAACCGTTTAAATTTTGACTTCGGCCGTACCTGATTGTTGGCAGTACGAATAGTTTTTCGTTGCTTTATTTATTTAATTTTTTTTTTTTTTTTTGTTTTCGCTTCGATTAAACTTCTGTTTCAATAATGTGTTTAATATATAACGCCAAGCATATGAATGGCGTTTGTGGTTGCGAATCAATTTTGATTCGATTGGATGTTAGAGTTTTTTTTCTTCTTTCCTTTACCCTAAAAATTCAATGAATTGTAAGAAAACAGGAATGTCGCCTTTTTTGCGCATGTTTGCTTTTTTGTTTTTGTATTTTTATTCATTTAAAAATCTTGCAGTAACTATGTTTAGCAAGTTTTTGTTGTTGTTATGTTTTTTTTTTTTTGCTTTTTGTTTCTATTATTGTCGCAGACTCTACTGTATGGTTACAACTGATGTTTATTGGGATTCGGGTTGAGGTTAGAGATGTTGTTGTTCTTATTGTTGTTGTTGTTGTTATTGTTGTCGTTGTTGTAATTTTGTTAAAGACGATGACGGCACAATAATTAGAAGCGCGTGCTTTAAGTCCAGCATGAGTAGTTTAAAAAAAAAAGTTAATCTTTTTTTTTTTTATCGTTGTTCGTGTTAACTGTCGTTTAAAGAATTTATTTTAAAATTTTCTTCAAAAGTTTTTTCATCAAAGAGGAACCAAACCAATACAAGAATTATCCATTTTAAAGCAAATCTTAAATAACGTCTGTCTACACCAAGTATAAAATTATATATAATTATCATAATTATTATTATTACTATTATTACTATTTTTATAATAAATGATAAAGCTTTTTATAAATTATGCAAGTGCCAATAAACGGACCCGAGGAATTGGTGGGTCAAATTATGGAATTTTTTTTTAGAAATCTTTCGACGGTATTTTGTCAAGAAAAGCATCGGACTAGTGTCTTTTTAAATATCAGTATTAAGCGATATTAACAAATTTAGTCTTTGGATTTGATAGTAAAGTAATTTGCTAATAATAAAGAAGTGAGTTTCCCTAGCCACCTGTGCATTAGCTTGTTTACTATAACTATATTCGTTGTGTGTGGTCCATCTTGGGGTTTCAGATCTTCCTTTCCTTCTAAAGCAAATGTTGTTGAATGAAATCGCTACAATTATAGGAAGAAACCAGCAATGATGTCTTTTTACTTGCTTTCAAGGAAAGTGTAAGACCTATGTGTACCAATTAGTGTCTTCACGCACGGCCGCCAAAGTATATCGAATAAGTAGCACATTGCAAAGCAATACTACTTATCATGAATCCGTTTTACGATATCTTGAAGTTTGACATTGTTATTTTTTTTTTTTCTTGTCATAAAAAAGCGACAGTTCGCCTTGTTCCCAATGAAATTAATTTTGTTTATTCTTGTGCCGCGTAACCTTAAGGCGAAAATGCTAAAACCATTTATCCCTCATTGAATTCACCGGGAAAGCTATCCCTTTGTTAGTTTATTTTTTGCTTTCCTCGTTACAAAGAGAGACGCTATTCCGGCAAATGGCTATCGAAGCAGAGAAATCTTCACATCGTCACACTTAATAATGAATTAAAAAATGTGTTCTATTTTCGACAGTTTCCTGTACTTTTTGATAGAATCTACTTTGAAGTAATTGGTTTTTTAAAATATTTTCAATTGTTCTTCGTTTCCGATTCATAGGCGAATCGTGCACTTTTTAAACTGATAAATTGATAGACGAGTAGAGACAAATTTATTCATAGCATGATACTGATCAAGAACATATATATGTATATATGTCCCTCTGCATTATAATGTCCCTCTGACGTATTTCTCGATATAATCTAAGAACTGACAAGACGACCTCTCTAGACCGTGCAGCCAGATAATGAAATGGTTTAAAACAACCTATTTGCCATAAGCAGAATTATTCATAATTATCTTTTTGAAAAATATAAAAAAAATGTTCCTTTGAAAGGTAAAGATATTCATTCTTAGGCAATTTTATTATTAACTTAATAATTTTTATATATTTTTTATTTATTTATTTATTTGTTTTATTTCTTCATATTTTTTCAAACAATTTTTTGATAAATTACTTTTAGGTTCTTTTTTTTTTTTTTGGGAATTCATATGCAAAAAAATTTCTCATTTCTGTTTTTAATTTTGTTTTATTATTCTTGGTAACTTAATTGATTGCTTATTTATAGTTGTGCTAAGCAATCTATTGAGAAGAAAATAATAATAATTTTTTAAGAAAAAAAATATCACCAGCACCCGTTAAACGATTTAAAGATCAGCTAATGCGCTGACAGACAATTGTTGACTGCAACAATAAGTCACAACAAGTGCTATATTAACTCGCGACAATCTTCAACGGCTAAGCTAACCAAACAAATACATATTTGCGTTTGTATAAACATGCACGCGATCATTCCTCTCACCCTTTCTCTCTTACTCTCTCATTAATAGCGACCTCTATTCATTTTGTAATGACTTACTCTCAATATTACATGTTTTTCTTCGCATATAAAAGCCCCAACTTACTGTCACTCTCAAACTTTATTGTATTAGAGAAGAGCTTAAGAATTATTAAAGTCCCCAAGAAACCTGTTATTATTATTATTATTGCTTAGCATTTACAATTGCAAAGTAAAAGACCTAAATTTTAATAATATGTTTATTTTGTTTGAATGCATATTTTGACGCAAGTGCTTGTCTGAGAGTAAACGAGTAAATATAGTAACTGACTTTAATGACGTAACATATTTTATTTAATATTTTTCGATGGTTGCTTTTCTTAAGTTAAGTTAGACTTCTCTTTATAAGAAGTTAGAAGGGTGGGCCGGAAACATGTTTAAAACGTCATTATAATTTGAGAGTATTTTATATTTTTACTCACTCAGTTATTATTCATTTATTTATTTATATATAAATTTTTTTTATTATTAATTTTTTTTTTTTATTTACTTAATAGAGAGTGTAAGCAGATAAGAAGCAAAGTTAGACACTGTGTAAAGCATATTTTGCACTCTGTTGCTAAAGTTTGAAAACAATTGAATAAAAATATGAATGCAATGCATTAACGGATCGGGAAGCGATACATTTACAATAATAACGCTCGAATAAAGCAAAACTTTTCTAAATATCTTAATCAATAGTAAAGCAATAAACAAGAGAGCTTCTTTTTTTTTTTTTTTTAATTTTAAAAATGTTCATATTTAAATACATGGGTATAACACTTTTCTTAAGTAAACAAATTTATTTTTATGGGCATAAGAGGAAATTTATACCAGATAGCTTTATAAGTTTGTAACATTTTCATTTCCATTGTTTGTTCAAAGCAATGCGTCCTTTATATTTATCAACGAATGAACATCAGTCTACATACTAGAGTACTAGAGGTGCTTTAGAATATTTTTCATAATTATATTCCTTAATAATTCTATTTGTCATCGATAACGAACGTTTAAAGCGGCATTTTCAAAATGGAAAATTTGAAATTTTCAAACTTTTGTTCGATGCCAGAGAATAGCCAAAGCCTCTTGAGATATATCCACTAAAGGAAACGGTCTTATTCACAGCTTGAATTTGATTTTTGAAATCAAGAAATTCGAAATGCAAACTACCCGCGAACATTTCAAATGTGACGCGGAAAAATTGTCGATATGTTCAGCAAACGAATATGGAGCAGTTAGCCATAATTATTCAGAGAATCATCCCGCTTGAAGCAATAAATAGTCACAAGTGATATTTCGTCGCGACAGACGAATATTACAGAAGAAACTAAGGCAGGAAAAGAGTAACACTGAAACTCACTTTTAAGCTATGGCTTAATTAATATAAACCATTAATAATATGTAGAACTGTGCTTAATACAATGAGATGAGTTGTGAGCACTAGAAATATACGATAGCCGTATAACGTTTCTCCAAAAATCAAGATTCTCATGTAAACGAGGCCAGGCGGGTAAGAGCGCCCAGTTCACAAAGTTCAATTGCACTTCTACGAAATGAGACCTTATAGGATAGAAATCGTTAAAGTTGCTAAACGAGAACTAGATTTCTGCACACTTTACCGTTCATGCATTTTTTTCTTCCGTCTGCGTACCATCTAATTAGTGTTTCCAGTTCGCTTTAATGAATCGGCTGTGTTGTGCCTTAACGTGTCTAATTTAGAAGAATGTTCTCATTGCTACGCGCCTCAGACAGAATCACTGGAAATTGAGAACACTGCAATTTAATGATTTCATTTATGAAACCTAAATGAGAAAAACCTCACTTGATCACTGATCAAGTGATACTTCAAGTTTATATTATCTTTAGATAATGTTTTTTATGTCAATTGCTTACTAAAGCTTATTGCTATGTAAACCAAATTATACCGCTTTCTTTGTATTATTAAAAATGCATTAAAAGTCATCAAAAATTTTTTGAATGCAATTAAGCAAATCGAGAGGAAAGAAAAAAAATTACAATCAAATTTATTCATATCGCATGTGAGAAAAGTTGTGCTACAAAAAAAGCCTTGACAATGAATTTCATTTTGATATACATTTTCGCTTTTGTCTACAACTGATTGCAATAAATAAACCGAAAAAGACAAATTCTGTCGGCCTGAAATAAATTACGATGGGAACTGTAAAACCGGGAATAATTTCACTTTTTTAGTTTTCTTACAATTGAATGAAAGGCGGTAGCTATTGTTTGCTAATGAAGGAAAAAGTATGCATGTGAACAAGGGTTTTATATGATATAAAAACAAACAAAAAAAACAAAAAAAAAAAACAAGTAAGAAAATTGTTGTTGCTTACAACCGAATCTTTTATGCTTATCACCGTTATTTTAAAAGAAGACTAACAGAAGGGAAAATAAATAAATTTTCCTACTTCATAATATTGCGTGGGCGTGGTTGATTTTCTCTACATTTTAAAATAAATATGGAGCTTAACATCATGCATCATGCGTTATACTTGATGAGTAGGGAACAAAAAATGTGGAAAGCAAAGTTGTTCCTAGTTTTTGATATACAGACATGTAGGCGTTACAGGTGTGTTCTTTGATCGCTTTAAGTCATTTTTAAATTTTTCAATAAATTTGTAGACGATATCTTCATTTTTGCGATGAATGGGAGAATGTTTACCACAGATACTACACAGTATAGCAGACGGACAAAGGGACAGACAAGCAGACGGACATGCTCAAATTTGGCAATGGTCAAACATCTATATGCTATATACAAGATTCGTAAAGTTTGCTCGATTTACAATTTCATGTTGATCGTTGAAAATGTATACACATTGTGGGGTTTCCGAAGCTTCCTTGAAAGCGTTGCAAACGTTTTCACCAAATGAATACATCTCCCATCCTTCACAATCGCTGCTTTTGGTGCGAACTTGTACATAAATTTATAATTATCATTATTAATGTTGATAAAGAAGATACACGTGCAGTCTATCTGTTCAAGTTCGCAATATTTTCTGCTTTTTTCCCCTTTTTTCTAAAGTGCTTTACACAAATTATGCGCGAGAAATTAAGCTGGAAATGGTAATGAAAAGAAAATTATGCCCATCTTTTTTATTTAGAAATTCTTAAACAATGTGGTGGCAATACTAGTGCACAGAGAGAGTAAAATTCGATTTGATAAGTAAAAATCTATTTTTTGGATTACATTAAACAGAAAATAGAAACAGAAAACGTATTACATGATAATAACGTCTTGCACGAGTTGCCTTAGAAGCAATCACACACAACGAAGGAAAACCATAAGAAAATTTGCGAAAAATACTTTTAACTGCGAACCTTTTCAACTTAATGCACTTTTTCTGCCAGTATTTCGAAAAGTGCACCGATTCTTTATTTGTAGTAAGAATAGTAGCGCGAAGTAGCGAAGTTTGGAAAGAGAAAATAATCGACGAATTAATTGATCAACGTAATAAGCTGAATTTCCTTATCTTTGTCTGTACCTCTGTCCATGATCTCTTACTCTTCCCACATATATCCTTAGTACCTGGCAAGTGGCCAAGGTTAAAAATGATCATGATCAAGCGAGAATCACATCAACGGTATACTTTTTAATTCCATGTAAACTCCAACTAAAAAAATCAAAGATTATCAACAAAAGTGTCCTTAATGCAAGAACAAGTGATTCAGTCGGAATCGAAACTTTTATCCCCATCATCTAAATCCCAATCCTAAAAAACAGAAAAGAAGTAAAAGAACAAAATTTTCATGCTCTACAATATGGGGAGTGGGTGCAACTGATTTCATCTATTTACAAGACAAGAATTTTTGTCGTAGAGACATGTGTACGTTGTAGGAGTGTCCTTTGAAAAATTTAATTCAATTCCATATTCTTTTGCAATTTTGCAAGCGATATCTTCATTTTCGCTAACGAGAGAGTCTTTACCACAAGTACTACAAAGTTGAGCAAACAGACAGATGAACAGACGAACTGTGTGCAAGAACATGCAATGTTTCTGCAAAGTTGAAGTCGATAGCTTTATTTTTTTTGCGGCCAGGAAATTGTTTACAACAGACCCTACACGGACGGACACACGGACATGCTTAAATCGATTTAGAAATTGTTGCTGATGGTTACTACTATTTTGTGGGGCCTTTGATGCTGCCTTCCAGGCGTTGCAAACGTTTCGACAAAATGAATATACTCCTTATCCTTCGGTGATGGGCATAAAAAACTAACAGTCGATAAGAGGTATTGATCTGTGATCTGATACAAAAGTATTTCCTATGTTCTGGTAAAGGGACCAATCGATCGAATGTGACACCTACGAGTTAGTTTTGTATTCGGATTTGCTATAATGCAGACCAAAGATTCGCCTCAAGATTTCTAGTAATGGGATCAGTGATCATATCGTTCAGGCGTTATTCTTCGCAATTTATTTATTTATTTATTTTATTTATTTATTGACGCTTATATAACCTCGAAGCCATTCAGCTCTATTTGAATAGATTTCAATAATAAAGTGCAATAGTATAAAATGTTCCTAAACAACGTAAATGAAAAGGGAAGAAGAAGAAAATTCAAAGT